AGACAAATATCTATGGTGATCAGAATAACGATTAATGGAAGAATACGCTCACACTTGTTGCAAGAGAAGCAACAAGAATGCGCAAAGGAGTTAAAACAATGTTTATTTCTCTAAGATATTGCTTTCCTATTGTACATTCGGATTCTTGGGAAATGTGGACTTTGCTATCGTTGGAAATTTCCTTATCAAAATTCTCTTAGTAGTGCGCTGATCTTTCGTAACGCCGAAGTGTTTTCATCACCAAAGCATTATTATATAACTACCAATAGAATTCGCTGTGAAGTTCAAACAAAGCACTAGTTGCTCTGAAAATAAAGCGAATCATTTTCCTCGTTGATACTGCGCGCTATGAAAGCTTTTTCGCTAGTCGTGTTGATCACTGAGATCTTTTTCTCCAGCTAATGAATGATTGATACTAGTCTAAAAAATTGCTCTGTTCGATAGAAGCAAGCGCACGAACACATTCCGCATAATTCGTAATGAAAAGTGGAAATTTTCAGAATCGCTAGGCATTCTTACCGTTGAGAACGCTTTTTGGAAGTTCCTCCTCTATTTTTCCATTTCTTCGTGACCATAAAGTTTACTTAGCGTTAAAGCATACTATGTAAGTATTAACAAATCTGCTGTGAGTTTGAGACAACGGTATCCGTACTCCTACAGCATGACTGTGCCCTCTGTCGTTCTGTAGTACGTAGTAGAACGTTTGAAAAGTCTTTTCATATACCATACCTAGTATCGAAATCAGTGTTTGCTAAAACTGCCGAGTGACCACAAAAATATGGACGAAACAAACAAATGATGTTATGTAGATCTAGAAATATGTTGCTTTCAGAAGTATTTAGTTTCTTGCTGAAACAAAGGATTTCGAGGCATCGGTGCTTTTTATATTGACAACTCGTGACGGAAGTCATTCCTGTGTTGTTCTATCACTCAGTCACAGAACTGTCTTCTTGAAAACTAAACTATACTGCTTGAGAAGGGAGAATACGTCCTCCAACGCAAACTGTCTAGTACTCTCCCAGGCAATCCGTGTATCCGAATGAATAAACTTGAAAGTCAAAAGGGTTAATGCATTTGAATCTAAGGGACGAAATGGTGCAGATAGATGTACCGAAACAATTGAAGTGTCACCACGCAGTAAAATTTGACTTTGGATAAGGGAAACTCATGTAGCGCAATGATTAGAGGTGTTCTGCAAAACAAGCGTGGCAGCTGAGGCGCTCTATCTCACAAGGCTGACCAAAGATTCCATACCTACGAGGCTGAAAAATTAGCTCTATACATGTCTGAGTTAGTAACATTAATTCATCACATCGATAGCCCTCCAGACCAGACGTTGATCAACGCGGTACGTTTCATTTTCTACTTTTTATTTGATGAAAAAACTTTCCTCCAGTGTCTGCTTTTCTTTCAGCGTCTATGGAATTTGCTCTCGATATGCTGCGAAGTTCTTACTTTTCCGTTTTCCGCACCATGTCTCGACTTCTTGAAAAACTCCTTTTGGTTGCTCTCAAGTCCAAACAATCATCTGATGACTTAACAAAAAATTTGAATGGTGCATCTTGTTTTCGACATGGCTTTGTCATTGCATTGTAAAAGCAAGAATAAAATTGTACTCCTCATTCAAACAATTTTCGCTAAACAAAAATTTCTTTCTCGAACTTTCATCGAACATTCGATAGCTTAAATCTCGTCGACTCTAACGATGTACATGGTTTTCAAAAAGGACTTCTTGGTGCGACTGCAACAATCAAAAGAAGATTGGGTTCACAATTTCTGGTACCAGCTAAAAGCGCGGTCACTTTGCGGCAATGTTGGGAAGTATCCATGCACATACCGCCAAAGCACGGTGGCTTGTTGTCAGTGTTGCGGTGCGTGAATATTCATTTGGCTGCTAGCAGCGGCACAAAAAAGCCCTTCTCGAAAGCCAGAAACTTCATTAGAGTCGACAAGATTTATGCTATCGAATCATTGCTAAAGTCTGAAAGAAAAGTTTTATTCAGCGAAAAATGTTTAGTGAGAACATAATATTATTTTCGCTGTTACACTGTAACAATAAAGTCATTTCGAAAGAGAAATACACCATGGAAGTTTTTGAGATTTGAGCTAATAGATGATTGCTGAAAGATGATAAAGAAGCAAAGGGCGTGCTTTTCTCAAAGGATCGAAAGAGGTGCAAATGACGAAAATGATCTAAAATTGTAAAATCCAAATTCCTTTTGAGTGTTACAGCACATTAAGAAGTCCACTTGAAAGCCAAACGCATTATTGGAATAGATGTGATTGGGCTACCGAATGTTTACTGAAACTCTACACGGAAATCTCTGTTCAGCGAGAAATGTTTGAACGAGGAACACAATATTATTTTGGCTGTTACAGTGCAATAATAGAGCTATTTATTAAGAGAAAACACGCCATTCAAATACTTTAGATTTAGGCTATCTAATGCTTATTCAAACATAAACACTAAAAAGTGCGTTCCCACTGAGGGTTCGAAACAAGGTGCGGATAACGGAAAAGTACCCAGAACTCAATAGGTCACTTATGAAATGTATAAGAAAACGACAATAATGGATTGACGATTCGACTGATCTATGATCTTACTAATCTGAGGTAGTAAATAGATTATCAATGCAATGTAGGCCATGCTGTAGAAAGAAATCTTAAGCACGTCTTGTTTGGGTCAACAACATCTGGTGGTCACTGCAGTAAACTCGAACAATCCTTTAGTCCTTTCAGAGAGAGCGCTGGCGGCCTCTTTTCGTAGCCGTCAGCCGGCGCGCCAGCCGAAAATGGCGCCGTTTGCAAAGGATTATATAATGAAAAAACTAAGTAGAGTAAAGTAATACCAACTATTGTATCATTCACGCTTGGTTTGATGTAGGATAATGATAGATATAATGTGGATGTAATGTCTAAATTTTATTCACATCATTTTCACACGATGCGCTGATCATAGCACATCGCTCATCTAGTTTATTGTCCCGCAACCGTCATACACAAACGTCTTCGCGTTTAAGCATGGTGGTGATTGAGTTTTTTCTCATAAAAGTAACTTGTCGAGTATAAATGTTGAGTCATATTGATTTCCTCTCTCAACAAAATGTGTGTAAGTTGTTGGCGGATTATAACATACAGTTGAATTACCTAAATGGACAAGGATGACATGGTAAGAGTACAGCAGTAATGGATTGTTTCATAGCAGAAGTGCGAAAATCTTGGCGTTCTTAGATTGAATAAGCACAATTTTAGCTGACGAACCAAGCATGAGTTTATTATTGCCCATTCAGTCGCATTTAATGGCATCACCAAATATTACATATATATATGTATAAGTATGTGTTTACATATACATATAAATATGTATATATTGGAACTCTCACGAATTTGCAAGTCATCTTTGCGCATGGACCATGCTAATCTTCTTTGAATTGTTCCGGTACTCATATATACTTAGGGATAAATCAAATGAATTCATTGTTGACATAGTAAAATTATATATAATATATATATATATATATATATATATATATATATATAATATGGTCCATCATCACTTTCAATCTGAGGATCCTAACACTTTTAATGCTCTATTCGTTTCCTCGCATGCGTCCTCCACACAGTCCTCGAACATCCGCGTGTTGTTTAGCTTACTACTAGAGGAATTCGTCTTCTTCATAAATTTATAAAACATAGAATGTGGTCCGGAAAACCCTTCAGTTTCGGAGAAATTTGAGCTAAGATGTTCGTTGATTGGTTGCCCGACGTGCTACTTGATAGCTTGAACTATTAAACACTCAGTCACTGTTCGTCCATATCATTATGTATGAAGCTTATCTGCAATTGCTTTTCTACATATGAAAATAAGTCATATAGAAATACAGCTAAGCTTCATATGTAATGATTTTACATATAGTATATGGAGCAACAGTGACCGAGTGGTAAAAGTTCAGGCTATCAAGTAGCAACATTGGTTCAACCCCCTTCGCAATACTCTCGCAAACAATCAACGAACATCTTAGCTCAAACTTCTGCGAAATTAAAGATTTGCTGGACCAGATTCTACGCCATTTATCTAGAAGACGAAGTCCTCTAGTAGCAAGCGTTGTAGTTGACTTTCTACATATGAAAACAATTCATATACGAGTAGAAATATGAATGCGAAGGTTGTCTGATTTGTCTACAACAAACTTTCGTGCCTATTATTCATCATATCGAATAACATGGCGCTTTTCTTGATCCTCGTATTCGTAGGTGAAGATTTCCTATTGTACTCGATTATTCAATGGAATAATCTAATCTTCTATGTTTAACAAGTGAGTGGACCAATAATGAGCAAGTTGATAAACTTTCTTGAAATTGAGATTATTTATCTACTTGTCTATCGAAGGTGTCTCCACAAAACATTATCTGTTCAATAAGATCTAAGCTACACAAACCACTTTATCAACACATCAAACTTTTTGGAATACTCATTAGCGCAGTAGTCAGAGACTCTCATCAAAACTTCTTGTTACTCCTTTGATCTCGTGCTGTTGGATAACTAAGAACTCCATCTTACGGAGTAGGCAGATTAGGAACAAATAATATGAAGATCGAATCAATGACTCCAAGTATGTCTGTCTCATGAGAAAATAATCTGTTACTATTTCCGCTTCTCTACCGATAGGAAGCCATTTTGGTAGGAGAAAATGAGAATGACACTTACCATGCCAGACGCCTATAAAGGGGTTACAGCTTCAATAGATAAGCAATATTCTGTAAGTGACTTTACTTCAAACGCCCGTTTTTGACATCACTCTTTCTATGCCACAACGCGTTATCTCTCAACAACCAACCGTAAACGGTCTGGCTTGGGTAGTCGTTATCGACACTGGACCCACATATGCTGGCAGGTATTGGATGTTGATAATCAATCAGAACTCATCTTACTTGACCGTCTCTTGCGGTGGTATGATGTTACAATATAGTCATGGCTGAAGAGTGATGTGCAAAACTTTCGCATCAGGAGGGGCTCGAACCCGCATCTCACGCTTTCCGGGGGCGTGCGTTCTAACCCGCTACACTACTGACGCCCGTTTTGTTACCACTCTTTCTACACTATCCGCTGTAGCGTAGAAAGAGTAGTGGCAAAATGGCAAAACGGGCGCTAGTAAGGCAGCGGGATATAGCATGCGCTCCGGAGGGAACGAAATTCGTATTCTATTCCCACCTGATGCAAAAAGTTTTTGAACACCGCTCTACCTCATTGAGTATATTGTAACATCATATCACCGCAAGAGGCGGACAAGTAATATAAATTTTGATAGACTTAACTCCAGCTAAGATTTGTTCATTCTAAAAAGGTTGGATTAGGTACGACGAAAGCCTAAGACGAGTAAGAGCAACTATGGAACTTCATTCGCATCATCGGGTCCGGAAGGAGGCGAAAACTTCGAGGCGTTAGCCAAATAAAAGTTTTCGAACGTCCCCGTGTGAGCTTGTCGATATGGAAAATAGATTATCCAATGGTTAATTGGAGCATAGCTCAACTGTAAGAGATGACCTCAAAGACCCGCATGATCTTTGGTCTGATTCTTTGAGCAAGGCTAATGAAGCTCTCCATCTTTCAATCATGTTACGATGCTTAATTTAGTCAAATGCGTGGCGCATTTGCAAATAGATTAATCAGCCCGAAAGCTTTTGAGCTTTGCGAAAACCCTTATTGTAGGTTGAAACTTGCTATCATCGAAAATATTCACATACACATGAGTGAATGAATTGCTTGCATCTGTTATGCTAAGGAAAATATACGACAAAACAGCATCTGTTTTTCAGTAGAATTCACTTGACTGCTACCTATCAGATAATGGAGATGGGTCTATTACATTGGTTCAACAACAAGACTTTTCCCATTTAACAAAGGAGAGAGACTGACCTTTGCTGAAGAGCTATGGAAGCTATAACACTACTATAACGAGATACATAGCAGAACTACGTTTCACTACTACTTAGTATGAAGACGAACACAGAAAAAAAATCACATCCTCATGGCGTAATCGTCTAAATATCCAATAGGATATTGTGTAATTTCTTCGACTCCAGTTCCCAACGCTGTAAATTAATGCGTTAGATTCATCGAATCTTTCTCGACAGAAGCCTATTGAGATGTATTTTTTCGAAAATTACTTGCAGCTTTTTTGGCAATGAGGCGTTTGTTCACATAAATTGAAGTGAATTGCAGTCGCTGATTCCTGGTCATTAATCATCGGGTTTTGAGTTTTTCAAGAAACAGTTGGTTAGATAGTTCCCATTATTCATGTCAAGGTTGGATTTAAATTCTTCTTTCGATTTGTTTCCGAAACAGTGTTAGACTTACAGTTCAAGAACCACAGCCCATTAGATTTTTTCACGAAGACCATGAATCAAAAAAAAATTGGCGCGATGATCCTCATGCTTTTCTAATGAACAATTCTCACCATGCGTTCATTATACACAAAAGAAACGAACGCAATCTTATGTCACCGTCATTGAGCAATTTTTGCAAGACCTTTTTCGCATCTAAGGTGTAAATCTTCTCAAATTTTGTATTCTAATCATTTTCACGCGTCTGCCGTTGACGATCTCCTCCAAATATTTCGTGTGTGCTGTTTTACGAATACAGTTTAATGTTAGTCAGGACGATTTTTTCAAGAAATGAGATAGGTGGAATAGGGCTTCCTCGTGCGATTTTGAAAGAATAAGCTATTCCCGAATAAATCTAATAGTAGTTTTTTCCGAACTCAGCGGCATGAGAGAGTCGATGAGCTTTTTGTGACATCAAAACAGTGCTATGCTCTCAATAAACGACATCACTACCAGTGCACTATCCACTCCGCCGGTTTTTATGCATATAGACTGCTTTTGTGGAGAAAAAAAGTATGCTAATAGTTAGGCTAGTGCAAAAGTAAATGCGGTTTTGCACCGTAAATTTTAGACCATCAAGTCTTAACTACATAAAGTCAGAAATGCGCGTTAAGATGATGCATAGCATGACCACATCTATTTGAATAATATATATATATATATATATAATTATCGAATGGCAGATTTCAAGAATGTATAAACCACAGTACTTTTTACCAACCTAAAACTACCCTAAATTTCCGCAGGGAATTCTAGGCATGGATTTGAAAACTTACATCTACTATCAGGAGAAAATGGAAGTTTTCGAGTATTACGAAAACTTAGCTCGAATCAAATGAACGTTCTTCTTATACTGATTGTAAACAAACATCAGCTAGGAAGTGGTTTATTTATATTTTAGAAGATTAACGGCTAGTTCGCTGATGCGCCTAATCCATTTGACGCCCACTATGAAGAGTCATGCGCTAGTTTCGCTAAATTTTTGCCTTCGGTTTCAATAACCCCATTTCTTTCTATAAACTATTCGTAACATGTGTGGACGGTTTCAAAATTAATGGCGTAATATATACATTGATAGCTAGCAAAGCTTAACGAGTGTCCATATTCATCCGGAAAAGAACCAATACAGTATTCAAGAAAAAACCTTCGCTATCGTTCACAGTAGAGATTTTGATTTATCGATATAACAAAGAGTTTTCTCTTGTACAAGCTCGAGTTTCCGATCATCGTATGCTGTCTGGTGCCAGTTGTCTCAGAAATGAAAGCTGCTTCATGAAAATCATAGTTAATTTAGCATTCGAGTGGACATCTTTTCTAAACAACCTCTATTCTTTAGACTTCCTCTATACGTAATCAACTCTATGCAATATTCCTTTTTATCTCTCACATTTTCTGAGTTTTTCACCATGTTTCGATGTTCCTCAAACTCGGCACATCAATGTCAACCACATTTACCTAGACAATGTTTATAACCATTTCCTTTTTCTTCTTCTACTTGTCTATCTCTCTCTCCCTCTCCCTCTCTCTTTTCTCTCTCTATCTCCATAAATGTCACCTTTTCTTTCCGAGCATTTTGGCGAAGAAAACGACATCATTGCTGCCACTATAGATTTCATAGTGTGGAACCGAAGCGAATGACTGGAGCTGAGCCAGTCACATGAATAACTGTGACCTTAAACTCAGATCACTTGGCCATAGGACACACTTAAAATGCATATCAATAGCAAAAGAAAGAGGAAGTAATGCGTGACCAAAGTTTTGTCGCAGTTCAGATATGAATAGAGAGATTTTCACATCACAAATAATTGCCTCTCTCTGAATTTTCCAGATATCGGTTTTCCGGCGTTTTTCCTTTTCTTTGAGTTTTCAGCTGCACTTGAGATTGAAAAAGATTTCAGTGTCAATGACTATTAGCGTAACGAGAGAATGATTTCACTCATTTCGAAATTGTCGCTAATTAACATACTCTACAAATTGGATAATATTCAACGGATTCTAATGTAGCATTGTATAGAAAGTCATATGGCAATGTCCAAAATGGGTTATATCCAATATTGAGGTCGTGTTTTACCCTTACCAAGGTCGTGTGCTAACAACCCCTATTGAGGACTTTGCATTGCTATGTCTCTTTCTATCACGCAAGACATCGAGGTTTCCAACAACCAACCGTCGACGCGTTTGGTCTGGTAAGTACATATCGGGATTTAATCAGCTTTCACCTGTAGTTCTTAGATGTGCAGTTATAGCATCATAACATTACTACAAAAGCGGTAAATAAAGAGCTTTTGTGGATTGAATGCAATCGATAGCTAACGTCGTAACTGGTTTCGGTGCCGAATGTTTTTACTAGACCAAACACGTGACTGCAAATCACAAGATCGCTGCCATACTTGGAAAGAATCCTAATCATAGGATAACAAAATTTTCTTCAGTACACAAGAGCGGATAACTTTCTGTAGTGGAAAAACTATAGACGCTTCTAGCATAGATATCTTCGAATTCATTGAAAAATCACAATCGATCAACATTCGTGTCAATGAAAGCAGAAGGCGAAAATCCATCAACTCCCACGTATCAACTCATCTACAGATCATTGTGTCAAGGCAACGAAACGAAATGATGAAATGCTATAGAACGATCTACGTGTGATATAATCTACGTATGTGAAAAACTGCCAATGATGTTCTTGAAATATTCTCAAAACTGAACTTAGTTTTGAGCCCATTTCTAGACCTCCGTGTATTCTATTTTAACATGAAATGTCTATTTTTCGCTGACCATATTGATGCTTACGGAGGCCAATAATTTGGTTCTTGAGCTTTTGTACAGTGGTTATGAGTAAAAATCTTATATCTCAAGACTATTGAGGTCTCTTGATAATTTCAAAGCTATCGAGTAGCTTATTTTTGATCACAAATGGAATTTGCGTTAGAGAAATAACAGTACAATAAATGATTTCCGATCGTTCACATAAAACAATATTTCAACAAATGATTATTTTCGACCTGTGTCAAGTGTTTTCTTGCAATAGAAAGTGATTTCCTAACCCGCCGCGATGAGACCGTTTTGTTTTTGCCCTTACCTTTCGATAACCATTCGGCAATAAATCTCGGCGACTTCAGTACCGTATTTGGTTTATTGAAAAAGCTTTGTCATTGCGGTGTAACAATAAGAATGAGAATACCTTCCACCTATAAGGTATTTCTGTTTGACTAGGTATGGTGGCTTTTTATAAGCGTTTTAACACCTTTTGAAACACTTGAAAACAATAGTTTCAATGCTGAGTTTGGTTCCTGGAAGAGTCTCCATGGATCGAACAAAATATTACGTTTTGCACTCAGAGATTTGAATTTCAGAGCAATTGAGCTTGCATAGGAAGTAGTGGTGCATCATAGTACCAAAGGCAATGTGAAAATCTTCCCGAAACAGGAAGAATTTTCAAATTGATAACGAAAATTGCGTGTCTCTTTGATCGCGCTCGCGTAGCGATGTCATTGTCACGTCGAAAGGACGCAAATTTCGTCAATTGTCTAGATTAATTCTAAATTTCAAGGAAAAATATCGTAGATTCTTTGTAGTAGAACTGTCGAAGAAACTTTCTTCTTCCATTCCATAGGTGCCAGCTTTTTTAACCTTTTATATCTATTAGCACTTTATTTGATCCGTCATCGTAATGTTTTTCCTTCACTAT